GCTAGCTGGGGGAGGGGGCAGGAAGTCCCCACTCGCTTGGAGCGGGTTGGGGCCGTTCGGGTCCGGTCAGTGAGCGGTGGCACTGTAATCGTGTTTGTATATTCATTTATCGGTGTTATTGTTATTGTTTTCTCTTCCCTTTGCTGTTCTGTTAAACTGCCTTTATCTCAACCCACAAGTTTTGCCTTTTTCTTCTGATTTTCCCCACGTCTGTGAGGGTTGAGCAAGTGGCCATGTGGTTCTTTGGTGCCGGCTGAGGCCAAACCACGACAATGACCAAAGAAAAAAACACAGAAGGGGATACATCTCACTTCTGAAGAACCAAAAAACACCACTGGAGATGGAGGGCTGCAGACTTAATAACAGTGATATATTCTTCTTACTGAATATTCAAAACCACCTAGAAGAGCTACCAGAATACTCACTAAAGAGAGAAAGCTTTCTCTTTATAAATGTCCATGAAAAACATTTATAAAGGTGATACGAAATATCTTTTTCCTTTCATCATATTACAAATAACCCAGATCCAGCTAGTGTCTTATGAGACACCCTCTTTTTCTTTGCACAGTAGAATGCATTATGCACAATCAGAAACAATCTCCTTCAGTAGGAAATCTTATTGGGACACTGTGACTGACCAATAAAGCCGTACGATGGAAGAAGGCTCAGAGGAGACAGGCAGGGGCCATGTACCCATGAAGCTCAGGAAATAATGCAGGGTGTGACTGACCACAGCCGTTGAAAAAAAACTGCTTTATCTCATAGAATCATGTCAGAGTTAAAGGAGTGTCTGGGTGATCCTCTTAGAATCATAGAATCATTTAGGTTGGAAAAGACCTTTTAGATCATTGTGTCCAACCATCAACCTAACGCTGCCAAAACCACCACTAAACCATGTCCCTAAGTACCATGTCTACCCATCTTTCAAATACCTCCAGGGATGGTGACACACCCCCTCCCCTGCCCAGCCTGTTCCGATGCTTGAAAACCCTTTCAGTGAAGAAACTTAAGAAACTTTTCCTAATATCCAATCTAAACCTCCCTTGACGCAATTTGAGGCCCTTTCCTCTCGTCCTATCACTTGTTACTTGGGAAAAGAGACCAACACCCACCTCGCTACAACCTCCTTTCAGGTAGTTGTAGAGGGTGATAAGGTCTCCCCTCAGCCTCCTTTTCTCCAGGCCAGACAACCCCAGTTCCCTCAGCCGCTCCTGTTCTGGTTTGAGGTAAAACAGGACGAAATTTGTTCAGTAACTTCACTTCTTAGCTAGGCCTCTTCTAACTACTGAAATTAACAGCATATTGTGCAGACAGTGTTCGCTCTCAGAGTGATAAGACCTATGTTTATAGCTGATGCCAAGGCATGGTATGCAGAGAGGCTCTTGCTTATACTTATTACTATAACAACCAAGGCCAACCAACTTTGTTACTTGCCCCATTGGAGGGTCAGAAGCAGAAAAGCATAGAGCGGTCTCACCTACGGGGAGGAGCAGACAGGACAGGTGACCCAAAACTGACCAACAGGGTATTCCATCCCATCTTCCATCAATATAAAAGCTGAGGGATCAAAGGGTCAGCGCTCTTTCTTCAATGGCTGATGTCCGAGGAAGATTCTGTCTGTTCGTCTGCCTTTGTTCCTGATCTGTGTGTTCCTGAATCCAGTTCCTGAGTTCAGCTCCCATCTGTCGCTGAGTCCAGTCTAGGACTTTCCCAGTGCCTGACAGTGATGTGATTGTCATCCCAGGAGCTCTATATGGGATGTATATATTGTATATCTGTCATTATTTTCTTTTTTGATATGAATACTGTACTTTGACCAAATTGAAAGTCAAAAGATACTTTTAAAAACTTCTCTTCAGTATACCAGAAACAACAATAACAGTTCAAATGATGTATAGGTATATTAGCTAATGCTTACTATCTAGACACTATTGACATCTGACTTTTTGGAATAATTTAAGAATTTGTGAGCTAAGTCACAGGGAGAAAAAGAAAAGCAAATTAGAAATGGTAATATAGGGCAATGGCCTGCAGATACTTTATTTACATGAGAAATACTGCTTTAGTGATTGTGAATACTACTGCACTTGGTTAAATGAATGGCCTGCAAGAATAGGACATAATACTTCTAACCCTCACTCCCTGAGAAAGATCTTAAACCAAGTAAGCAGCCGTGCTTTATCCATTTGAGTTCTGTTGAAAGAAATGAGATTACTCAGGATAATGTCAGGAAAATCTCATTCCCTAACTATTGAACCAATGAGTCTTTATAGTATGTAAGTGTATGAACTTTCTTGAGAGAGATATATAGTTTACATTGTATACTGCACAGTCATAGTTAAGTAAGCATGACTAAAGGACCTCAGCTCATTGCAAGTAGAAGGACAGCCCCCACCCTGAAGAATAAAGGATACCCCTGGACCACTGAGATATAACACCATCATCCTAGCCCCTCTAATACCTCTGTGAACCCTCCCATTACCTGGCATCATAGATAAGTAACTAGCAAGACTGACACTAGGGATGTTAAAATCAAGAAAGAAGCAGATGGATGATGATGCCATAGAATTGTAGTTGCTTTGCAAAACAGCAGTGTGTGTATTAAGTAGCGATTGGTCAAATCATGTTGTACCTGAATGCCTGAAACATATAAGAACCATGTGTAAAACTGGATTCGGGGTGCCTGAATTTGAATGGGACACCTCATGCACGTGAATAAAAGAATTACTCTTGTAATTCTAGACTTTGCATTCTAGCCTCTCTCCTTGGTTGGCACAGGCCAGTTTCAAAATTTTTGTGACAATAACAGCCATATATATATTGATAAGATTCCTAAAATACAAATATTTTGGAACACAGACTTTGTGTTTGTCCTGGTTTGAGGTAAAACAGAACCAATTTTCTGTTCAGTAACTTTACTTTGCAGCTAAGCCTCTTCTCACTATTGAAATTAACAGCATATTGTGCAGAAACTGTTTACTCTCAGAGTGATAAGACCTACGTTTATAGCTGATGCCAAGGCATGGTATGCAGAGAGGGCCTTGCTTATACTTATTGCTATAACAACCAAGGCTAACCAACTTTGTTACTTGCCCCGTTGGAGGGTTGGAAGCGGAAAGGCGCAGTGGGGTCCCACCTGCGGGGAGGAGCAGACAGGACAGGTGACCCAAAACTGACCAACAGGGTATTCCATCCCATCTGCCTCATGCTCAGTATAAAAGCTGAGGGATCAAAGGGTCAGAGCGCTCTCTTTCTTCAATGGCCGACGTCTGAGGAGGACTCTGTCTGTTCATCTGCCTTTGATCCTGATCTGTGCATTCCTGAATCCATATTCGGAATACTGTCCATCACCGAGTCCAGTCTGGGACTGCCCCAGTGCCAGCCGGTAACATGATCATCATCCTGGGAGCTTGATATAGTTTTGTATAGATTTCATTCTTTCCTTTTTATTATTAATATTTCATTAAAGTAGTTAAATCTTTTCTAAACTCATAAGTCTCTCTCTCCCCCCCCTCTTTTAGAAGAGAGAGGTTGGGGAAAGCACCTGTTGTTCGCCCCAGTGGGCAGACCAGCCCAAACCATGACTTCCTTCTATGAGAAGGAAGACTTTGTTTATTTAAACAGAAATGACCAGCTTTATTAAACCATTTTATCACAGTAACAATTTCAAATCACATCTACCAGCAAACATCCAGCTCCTCAACTTATCTAGATGTCTTAACACGGTGCACCTACAGCTGTCTCCTTTCATTGGAAGGGAGGGAAACTAAAAGCCAGGCAAGTTACATGCAGTGATGTACTTTTAATGATGAAACCCAACTGATAGGGGAATTTACATCCACAGGTTTGCTCATGTCAGATAAGTCAATCCCAGCCAGGCCTAGGCAGGTACACAGCTACCCCAGCGCTTCCACAGAGCTCGCCCTGGGCAAGGCCGAAAGGTTACTCCAAGGGCGCACATAACCCCCCCGCAACAGAACCCGTGGGCCCAAGGGCTGGCAGCCTTCAGCGGACACCAGCACCCGCATTGACAACCCTCCTACCCTAATTCTTCTTTTCCGTCTTGCCCTATAAGGAGAAACTACGGAGGAGGGGCGGGGGGAGGAGGACACACACGACCCGGACAACACAAAAGACTGACGCCTCCCCAGTCCAATCGCGGCGATACTCGCCCACAGCAGCAGGAAAAAAAGCGAGCTGCAGCGATGCAGGTGCGCATACGGTCTCTTTTTCTCCTGCCTCCCTTCCTAGCTCTTCCAATCACGTGGCGCAAGGAGGCGGGGGTTGGGGTGTCACGTGAGAGCAGGAGGCTGGGGCTGGTGATCCAGGCTGGAGGGGAAGATGGCGGCGAAGAGAGAGCCTCCGCTATTGATGGATGTACGGCCCGCCGACTTCGAGGTGCTGGAGGATGGCAAGAACGTCTTTGCTAGTTCTGTGTCCATCTTGGAGGTGAGAACTTGTCCGTCCTGCAGCTACCCTCTCTCCTTCCCTGGTGCAGTCTATTACTGCGAGGCCCAGCCGTTGCTCAGACCCCTGCGTTGGAGTGTGATATTGCCGGCACCCATCGGGCCCTCCTTGACTACTGAGGGTCCTTTCCCGCCCCCATTTCGGCCTTGAGCTGCGGCCCTCGCCGCTCTCTTCTCTGGGAGCGGCAGCTCCTTGGTCCTTGCCTTTGGGTGGGGAGAGCCGACTTGCCAGGGGCCCTCCGGGGCCCTCAGCCCTGCCTGAGCTCGGTGGTTCCCCTGAATGAAGTCTTTCTCCTGTCAAAAAAACCCCAAACCCCTAAAAAACCCACGGAAAAGTCTTTCTCCAAGTATCATACCTGCAATTGTTCAGAGAAATCAAGAGTCTAAAAATGTTCGGTGAATATATCTATAAATCACTCTTGTTTTCCATGTCAGGAGTCTAATAAAAAAACACGCTACAACTGAACGTGTAAATAATTCTTAGTTCTGAAAAATGCTCATGTGTTCACTAATGTTGGAACTTTTTTCTAAGTTGTGGCTATGTTTTATCTCTGCTAGTCTCTTATAGAAAAACTTTGTTCTCCCTGTGCACAGTTATACATTTAAAAAGAAAATTGTTTGTATTCCTCCTCTTGAAGTTTCCTGTCCCTAACCTTTACAGTAACAGGATCGGTACATATTTCTTGGTTTTGCTCTGACTGTTGCCTGTCCTTAAAAAGGTCAGTAAGTAAAGAGGCTCTTAAATGTGTTTTTTAAAGACACTTGCACTCTCTGACCTCCCACCCCCCCCCCCCCCCCCCTCGCCGTACTAGGTTGTAGCCTAGGTTGTATAGGTTGTAGCCTTTGTTCATTGTCATCCCACTAGGAGTAGGAAACGGAAATAGCTGACTGGGCTTTCTTTCTGTACATCTTGTTTTTCTTTGCAATGAAAGAATGTTTATTATACTTATATACTGATATGTAGCAACTGGTTCTCTGCTATTTCACTTTTTTTTTTTTCTTTAATTTAACAGTCAAGTCCTTCATCTCCAGAGCCAGCAAGTCTTCCTGCAGAAGACCTCAGCACAAACTCTAATGGTCCAAAGCCAGCAGAAGTCATGCCAGATGATGATAGAGAAAACCTCTTTTCTGGTAACTGCTATTGTTCTTCTAATAGACTCTTTTCCTCTTGGACTCAAAGGGGTGTGTTTTTGTGAGGAGTAGGAAAAAATTCTAATGCCTTAAAAGGTAATTTCCATGTCTGTAAGGAAATATGAAGTACCTTTGCAATGGAATCTCTGATTTTAAGCTTAAGCAATTTAATATTGTTGTAAATCTTAACCATTGTTCAACCTGTTAAAGATATACTTTTTGGAAAACTTATTAAGTAATGTTTTCCTTTGGATATTAGGAGCATCACTATTCTTTGTCAATCATTCTTTATTGGATTCAATGGTCACCTATTTAATGGAAGTCCTATGCTCTTCTGCAATATACTGTCAAATTTATGAACTTGAAATAATTTGCAAGAAAAGTGACATACTATAAAAGGAAAAAGAGTTGAGGTTCCTTGTGCAAAGTTTGTTCTACTCTTGTTAACACATCTAGCTACTGGTTGAATATTATTGTAAAACTGTGTTGAAGTGTAGCCTTTTCTTTTTGAACTGCAAGTAGAAGACTTAATCTTCCTTATTAGCAAAAATGAAGTAATATGTGACTTCTCTTTAAGGGTAGATGAGTTTTAATAGTAAATTAAAATTGGCTATTTTTTTCCACCTAATTTATGTGTTGTCTCAGCAGTAAACACTATTACACTCTTGACAATACATATTTTTGTAACAGAACTAGTAAGAATTACATACTGAAGTAATGGCACTTTGAGAAGCTTATTTGATACAAAAGTTAAATTTAAGTGTCTTAAGATCTTGACAGTGATGTACAGGATTTTTTTCTTGTGGGACTCTGGCTTTAGTTCAGTTTGATTACTAAATACAGGTTTCTCTGATATGTACCGTCATTGCACAGTGTTGCAGTGTTAGCTAGTTAATAACTTGTTCTGCTGATGGTGATATAGTGTATCTTGTTATGTAATAATATTCAACTTCATGTGTGTGTAAAAACATGAAGCAAGTTAAAGCCTTGTTTTCTACTGTATAACCATTTATAACTGTCCCAGTCCTTTTTTCCAATTATGAAGACTGATAATTCAGATCATATTGCAAGCTGGAGGGTATTTCTTCTTATTAAAAGACTCTTTTATTATAATAAAAAGGTGAGAAACTGACATATGGGATCAGCCCTGGCATTTCACTAGCATAAGATTTGGTCTCTAATATTTGACAGTACTGGACGTTTTGGAGAGAGAAGTATGAAAGTTTTGATAAGTAATCAGTCAATGACACTTATTTTTAATCCTTGGTTAGTCGCTACTTTGACATTGGTTTTCTACAGTCTGTTTTTCCTAACATGGATTATGGATTATGGTTGCTGTTACAATTACAGGTGTAGGAGCATTTACTAATCAAGAAAGGAGATGTAATGTTTAGAATATATTGCATGTCGAAAGATAGTTCTAAATGCTTCTCAATACTAACACTTTTCTTATTAGTGAGTCAGTTGGCAGTCCTTTTTGAATACATTCCTAATCTTATCTTTGTGCCCTAATGTAATTATTTTAAAATAAAGTTTATAGCAATTAGTTCTGGGCTGCTTTATATAGTTAAGTGTATACACATGCCCATTACCTTTGTTCTCAACTTATCAAACTTATATTTGCATATATCTGAACTTACATTCTAACAGTGTCATAAGCAAATCTATTGATTAATTTGCAAACTCTCTAAAATAGTCTGAAGAGAAATGGAGAATTAAGTGATAATCCCAGTAGTTTTGTATTTATATTACCTGATATGACCTACAAAGACTTTGAACACTTTACTAGTACAAGAAAGCTTTATTTTTAATTTGGTTATATAGCTTCAGTATATAAAGCCAGCTTTTTTGTAACTGTAGGGCCATCTGGAATAGATATTTTAGGAAAGCAGATTCTCCTTTGGCTGGAAAAATATTAAATTAAGAAAAAAGGTGCCTGGACTAAATATTGATGGGATCCAGACAGAGGTAACATGTTAGCAGCCAGATTGTTGCAAGTGAATCAAACACTGAGAAAAGACAGAGAAATGATTTAATGAGTTTTAGTTTTGCTATGGAAGACTTTTTTACATGCAAGCAGCGTTCAGCTGTGAAAGCATCTGATGTGCTGCAGGTCTAATACAACTCCAAGTGATTTTTAAAAGGTCAGTTCATATACAGATTAAGGCTAGTACAAACTCAAACAGGAAAAAAAGACTGATCTATAAAGCCAAACAAAACTTGCAGAAACATATCTTTAACAGTAGCCTGTTCTAAACAGGAGTTTTGCATAATACAGTTCTGTCCTAGTGATGAAGATCTAACTTTGTATCACTGTCAGCATGTGTTTTCAAAAACAATGTCTAATTTGTGTTCTAGTGCTTCACTGCTCAGGCCAGCCCTTGGAAGTCTCGGACTTTGTGGGTAACAGAGAAAGTCTGGAGGAAGGAAGACTTTCCCTTGGTTGATGAGGAGCAAGTTAGAGATCAGTTAGGTAAACTGGATATCCACAAATCCATGGGTCCTGATGGGATGCACCCGTGAGTGCTGAGGGAGCTGGCGGAAGTCATTGCTGGGCCACTCTCCGTCATCATATTTGGTAGGTCCTGGAGAACAGGTGAGGTGCCTGAGGACTGGAGGAAAGCCAATGTCACTCCATCCTTCAAAAAGGGCAAGAAGGATGACCTGGGAAACTACAGGCCAGTGAGCCTCACCTCCATCCCTGAAAAGATGATGGAACAGCTCATTCTGGGTGTCATCTCCAAGCATCTAGAGGAAAAGAAGGTTATCAGAAGTAGTCAACATGGATTCACCAAGGGGAAGTCATGTCTGACTAGTCTGATAGCCTTCTACGATGGCGTGACTGGATGGGTGGATGAGGGGAGGGCAGTGGATGTTGTCTACCTTGACTTCAGCAAGGCTTTCGACACTGTCTCCCGCATCATCCTCACAGGCAAGCTTAGGAAGTGTGGGTTAGATGAATGGATAGTGGGGTGGTTTGAACAGTGGCTCACAGATAGAGCTCAGAGGGGAGGGGTGGCTGACATGCCAGAAGGCTGTGCCGCCATACAGCGTGACCTGGACAGGCTGGAGAGTTGGGCGGAAAGGAGCCTTATGAAGTTCAACAAGGGTAAGTGTAGGGTCCTGCACCTGGGGAGGAATAACCCCATGCATCAGTACAGGTTGGGGGCTGACCTCCTGGAAGAGCAGCTCTGTGGAAAGGGACCTGGGAGTCCTGGTGGACAACAGGATGACCATGAGCCAGCAATGTGCCCTTGTGGCTGTGAGAAACGCACTCATCATATTGAATTTTAGTTGTGGCAAATTCGGTGGATCAAAGAATATTTATTACAGTGCTGGGAGTTACACAGGGGATTTCTCCCCCTGTGGCTCATTTTCCCTTTTACAAACGCTTGTTTTTATTTTGTATTCCTTATACTTATTCATGTTTTTTTCTTTGAAAATAATTTGCATAATCAATGAGGTTTTGGAACACAACCCACCCCCAATTACATAGTCAATGAGTTCTTGGAATGCAACCCACCCCCAAACATGCCCCCTCCTTTCTAGTGGCGCAGGCGATAATGCTTCCTCAGGGGTCTTCCTGGTGGTCATTGGAGGGAGGCTCAAAGTCTTTATCACTATGTCCTTCTTGTGGCTTCTTTATTCTTTACACTTCTGTGGTGATCTTAGCTAACTACACCACTTGTTTTGCAATGGTTCGGTACTTCCAACTGTTGCTTTCATCTGATATCCTATCTAACACTATCCCTTTTCCAAACGCATTGCAAGTACGCACCCATCTTAGCCGAAGCCATAGCAAGCACTCATCCATTTTAGCTGAAGCAAAATTCTTTGCTAAATTACTTATTACATGGCCAAGAAGGCCAATGGCATCCTGGGGTGCATCAAGAAGAGTGTGGCCAGCAGGTCAAGGGAGGTTATCTTCCCTCTTTATTCTGCCCTGGTGAGGCCGCATCTGGAGTGTCCAGTTCTGGGCTCCCCAGTTCAAGAAGGACAGGGATCTGCTGGAGAGGGCCCAGCAAAGGGCTACGAAGATGGTTAGAGGATTGGAACATCTCTTTTATGAGGAAAGGCTGAGGGACTTGGGTCTTTTTAGTCTAGAGAAGAGAAGACTGAGGGGGGATTTTATTAATGCTTATAAATACTTTAAGGGAGGGTGCCAGGGGGATGGGAGCAGTTTTTTTTTCAGTGGTGCCCGGTGACAGGACAAGAGGTAACAAAGGCACAAACTTGAACATAGGAAGTTCCATCTGAATGTGAAGAGGAACTTCTTTCTTTTGAGGGTGACAGAGCACTGGAACAGGCTGCCCAGAGAGGTTATGGAGTCTCCCACCCTGGAGACATTCAAAACCCTCCTGGATGCCGTCCTGTGCAACCTGCTGTAGGTGACCCTGCTCTGTCAGGGGGGTTGGACTAGATGATCTCCAGAGGTCCCTGCCAACCCTGACCGTTCTGTGATCCTGTAGCATCAGACTGATCCCAGATAGGTTTCTCTTGTGGCATGCTGCGCTGATTCTGTCCATGGAGGGAAGGTCCTTTGTTTTGTGATTTGAGCTATTATATAATTTTCTTGCAAGAAAACAACTCTATTCGTAAAGGATGTTCTCATGAGAACCCCTTGCTGTACTGTTAGATAAAGGCAAGTCCACGCACGTTGCGTAATCTCCATTGCCAAGTGGGAATTGCCTGCGGCCTCCTTTGTTACAATGAGCTGGTTAAGTTTTTCTTGCGGCCAAGGGATTTGTGCTCCCCAACGCAGGCCTGAAGGTCATGCTGGATGTGCAGCCCAGCACAGGCCTGGGCCTCCTCAAGTTAACTGTTATGTGGATCACTGACTCCTCAATGTGCAGTGGTCTCCCGGTCAGGATTCTACCCCTTGATCCACACACCGTTCACCTGTCCCAAAGATATATTTTAAGTTACAGGTTATATTAATAATGTAATAAGTACTTTAGGAAAAGAATTTTGCTTCAGCGAAAATGGATATGTGCTTGCTA